CGTCCTTGGCTTGGGTTAAGCTGTCCATAAACACGAGCATGTTTGTCACGCAAGAACGGTTTGGGAGAAATCCGTGTTGAGCTGGAGATATCAGATTGCTGGAAGTAAGGTGATCTAGAATGGTTCGCTTCAGAATGCGTTCCATCACCTTGCACTGCAAGCTAGTGAGGCTTATACGCTTATAGCTGCCAGGTCACAAGTTTTGTAGCTTGGCGTGACAAACGTTTTCTACCAAGCAGAGGGAAGGCGGCTTTCGTCAAGGGACTGACGAAACACCAGGTATAAATGATTTGCCAGTATAGATGACGTTTCCTTCAGGATCCTTGGGTGAACCTCGTCGGGCCCCAACGCGCAGAATGGGTTGATCTCATGCAAGAATTGACGAGTGTCCTCCACCGTGAATACCAAGTTGGTTAGAGGCTGTTCGTAGTTCCGCTTTGACAAGAGTGGATATGATGAGGACGCTGAAGCTGAATATAGACCTGCATAGTGTTCTCTGTAAACCTCAGATATCACTATTTGGTCACTCGTGGGTTCTCCGTTTGTGTGCAGCAAGGAGAACGCGGATGGCTTGTTTCTACGGTGATGTCTCATGCATGTGAAAATTACTGTAAGCTCCGGATGGTCACGGATCTCACAGGGCGATTGCGGCTATTTGATTATGCGCAGTTCGTAGCCAGTAGTCAATAGGAGCAGACAGACGTGGGGCAGCAGATGATATATTGAGAACTGACAGGAACTGGTTCTACAGACAAACGGATTAGTAAGCACCATGAATTAAGCATACGTACAATCAACAATGACGCAATCGGCAGGAGCGGGAAATAGTCACTGTCGCAGCACGGATTTCTATAGGGGCAACAACAAGTAAGTACAAACGATGTACAAACATACATATAGAGGCAGTCTGACAGTGTGAGTTGGCCGTAACAGCGCAGGAGCCAATACTTTCGGGATGTGAGGGACTGTCTTTCGGTCAGCGTCGACGCAGTTGCTCGTGTCGCGCGACAGGTCAGATTACGCGGTTTCGTCCGTTTAAAACAAAGCTCAGCAAAGGCTATCTGACAGGCGTGATACATGGGTAATACAAAATAATCAGCCGCTCCGGACATCAGGTTGACGCAGTTGGTAGCGCGTTCGCTTGCCGTCCGGAGGCTCCGGGTTTGACACCCGGGCGGCCCGCTTTTCCATCGGAGTGGGCGCTCAAAATTGGTGCAATCGAGGCGAACTTGCAGGCAATGACAGACGGGCAACAAAATATTGACAGCAGTTACTGAGCGATAAACAAACCTTAAGTAGGAACGAAACGGTATCACAATAAATAGGTGTAAGTCATGTTACTGGTGAGTAGTCAGAAAACAAGGAAAGTTATCCTTGTTCACCTTTTTGTTCTTCCGAGTGAGATCTAGAATGGTGGCTTGTTTTCGTATGTTCCATTGGCGATTTCTGATTTACTCCGGTTCCGCATTTTACGGAAATCCCAGTTCACTCTGTGCATCTCCTGCAGTCGGTATTTTGAAAAAATGTTGGGACCTCATTTCCAGAAGTCACCGAATCCTTTTATGCAGCCTGCGACTCATCGGACTGCGTGCCGGGTTTTTTTACGATCATCGCGTCACCCTCGCGAACTTTCGGGACAATGATTCAATCTAATTCTTCCACTGTTCGAGAAAAGATGCGCATTCCTGAGAAGTCTGCATGACAGAAGTCTCAAAACCACGTTTGAGGTTCGGGATTTCTGGCCCAATAGCAGTTGAAATCGAAGGTCAGCACATAGTGGTCGCTATATCCCAGTAGAGCGTTAATTGTTACCTGATCAATGAAGTGTCTTTTGTTAGCGATGACCAAACCGAGGAGGGATGGTAGTTGGCCTGTGCAGTATCTGATGGACGCAACGACACTTAGAGTTCAAGCGCTCTGTGGGACGACTCCAACCAGTGCCGCTGCAAGAGTCCGCTTGATCCGACGCCCTAGAGCTCCATCCAGCAGACCTTTGGAGCGTTGAAGTCACCTACCAGCAAGAGATGATTGAACTGATATTTGGAGGAGAGTTGCTCAAGGGTTTGTATGAGGAAATGACCATCTTCAGGGGACTCGATGCCCTACGGTAGACCACACCACAAAGGAGAGAATCGGACCCGCACGGCGGAATTTGGACCCACAGTGCATCGCAAGGTGCAAGAGTGGTATCAGAGAGCACAATCGGGATTGGTAGGGCCGTTTTCTGCCTAGTCCTTTCCTAAACGGAGGTCAAATTTTTCTCTTTCTTTCTTCCTATGGCTCCTCCGGAGACAACCGTGTTGCCGGCCGCAACCCCCCCCCTTCGTCCCAACAGATGCTACACCGCACGAAAGCCCATTGCGTCATCCAAACAGAGAATACATCTACTCGCCGCTCCCAGTGGTAGACACCGGCTAGTGGTAGACACTCGCTATGCACCATCTACAGATTAGAGCTGGTAGCAGTGCTTCGGGGACTAGTGACTATTTCTGTTGCACAGACTTTCTCTCCTGGTATAACGCAGCTCATGTAATAAACACCAGATTAGCCAGTTATCTTGGAAATCCCCTCCAACCAGCCCTTCTGCATCTGATTCCCATACAACGCTTCTACGCGCTTTTATCGGCTTCTACTAGATCACTTGTAATGTAATATCGTATATTAGCAAACTCAACCCCTGGTGGCTAGCCTGCTAAGTACAAATCTACCTATTTCCTACTCCATATAACCACTTGTCATTACCCTAATTGCAGCAGACGTCAAGTTTTTCTTTCTGTGTATATTATTGCGTATTATCCCACATTATACCCCCTCAAATCAACCACGTTTTGCGAATCTCCTCCCATCCTCTCTCCTTCCCAAGTTTGAACTTCGGAAGTGCCCGTTTTGGACGACCTGGTTGGCTGATATCCACTCCACCTCCGGAACCACTAAGCCAACCACAAAAACCTTACAATCTCATATAGGCTTTGTTCCAGCTTGTTTCCTCGACCAGGCTGAAATGAATACCACTACCCAATGAACTGCACACCCCAGCCGAATCATCTAAAATATGACGTCCGTCACGGGGCTGTCCAAATACTGAAGCATGTCAGGCCAATGATGGCACGGCACTGCCATACTCAGTTTGACAGCACACTCGCAACTGTTCCATTCCTCCTCCCAAAAGAGCCCTCTCGCCTACTCGTTTCCTTGACCCCAGCTGCCTCCATGACATTCATTCCAACCTGTTGGACCACTGGTTCGAATTCAGCCACCCCTGTGTCCTCATCCAACCTGACCCCTGCACCTGGCTTCCCTACAACAGCACAACCAGCATATTTTTGGGTCTAAACTTGCTATTTTCACCCAATTTGAATTATCTAATCTCCACCTCCACTTTTGCTCGTTGTGAATCCGGCCATTTACCTAACCGCCCAAAGTCACTCATGGCCAGCGATGGTTTTCAGTTTTAGTTCATGCCACCTGACTGTCTTGGATCTAGTCGAACCTCATGCCCATTTTTCCCAAAAAGTTGGGAAACAACCTATGATTTCTATATCATCGGGTATTCCCCAGTGTTTATGACATTGTCCCCTTTTTGTGCAATCCGCACCTTACAAACCCCCAGTCATGCTCCATTCCGACTGTAAACCTATGATCATGCCAGACGGTATGCCACCCACAAGTTGGGAATAAACCGTATTATCATTATAAGGACTGTCCAAGCCAGTCAATATAGTCTATTATAGTGTCAGAGACAAAAAATCATTTCAGGCACGCAGAAACGTAATGTGGTAAGGAAATAAAACACAAAACTGACGGGAATAGAACGTTCGGAGTGATTAGGGTTTATTTCGTGGGGTAAACGATA